GGAATGGCATTGTTAAAAAGCTGACGTCAGGACAAGCATTTAGGTGTTTTATTAACATTTGTTAGTACTTGTTCATTGTGGAAATGTGTACTTGACTAAACCATATGTGGCTATGGAAACTACTTTTGTAGATCAGGATATATAGCTTTTGTGTGTATTTAGCTTATTGTATTAAATTATTGTACTTAGCTTAAAGTCAGGATTAAATTGCATTTAGAGGGATCACTGAATATTACTCTGAAACTGAATTTGTGCCACTTCTGAACACCTATAAATAAGTACTGGAGAATTTTACTTTCTTACCCTATTTAAAGTCTGAAAAATTAAAAAAAGATCAATACTATAATTTGACTGTGTGTGATTTATTAGCTTTTTTCTCCCACTTAAAATATAATTCTAGCAGCTTAATCTCACTAAAGTCTCTATACTATTAGTATAATGCACTTTAGTTGATAGTGAGATTCAAGATAGCTGGGCTGATCTTTTTGTTATTTAAAAAAGTAAAAACCAGCCCAGCAGGCGTGGTTCAGCGGTCGACCTCTGAACCAGGAGGTCACGGTTCGATTCCCAGTCAGGGCACATGCCCAGGTGGCGGGCTCAATCCCCAGTGTGGGGTGTGCAGAAGGCAGCCAATCAGTGATTCTCATCATTGATGTTTCTGTCTCTCTAGCCCTCTCCCTTCCTCTCTGAAATAAAAAAATACATATATTAAAACAAAATTAAAATAAATAAAAAAGTTAAAAACAGTTGAAAAGCTACTCCAGACTAAGCTGAAATGAAAAATGGGAGCAGAGCCCTGGCCAGTTTGGCTCAGTGGATAGAGCATTGGCCTGTAAAGTGAAGGGTCCTGGGTTGAATTCTGGTCAAGGGGCACATGCCTGGGTTTTGGACTTGATCCCCAGTTGGGGGCGTACAGGAGAGCCAGTCGGTAATTCTCTCTTATCATTGATGTTTCTCTTTCTCTCCCTCTCTGAAATCAATAAAAATATATTAAAAAAAAAAAGAACGGGAGCAGAATAATAAAACATGAATATATCACAATTTTTTCTAATCAGGGTCCACTTCACCCTGAAGGAACTGGTAGCAACCGGCCACTGGGCGGTTGTCCTGGGTGCCTGTCTTAGCCTGCTCGCTGCCTTAGCAAATGTCATAGACTGGGCGGCTTAAACAACAGATTCCTTTTCTCAGTTCTGGAGGCTGCACGTCCCAGAGCATGGTGCCAGCATGGTCAGGTTCTGGTGAGCACTTCCTGGATTGCAGATAGCTGCCTTCTCACTGTGTCCTCACATGGCTGAGAGCTCTGTTGTCCCTTCCTCTTCTTAAAAGGGCAGCACTCTGTAACATCAAGATTCAACCTGATGACCATATTTAACCTTAACCACCTCCTTAAAGGCCCTATCTCCAGTACAGTCAGATTGAGGGGCTGGTGGGGGGTGGGGTGTTAGGGCTTCAGCATACAAAATCTGGGGGACACAGTTCAGTCTAGTAGCAGTGCCATTACTATTTTGCTAATGACCCTCGCTAGCATATAAGAAGTTTCTTTGTTTTGTTTTGTTTTTTCAGAGAGAGAGGAAAGAAGAGGGAGAAAGAGAGAGAAACATCTATTTGAGAGTGGAACATCGATCAGCTGCCTCCTGCACACCTCACACCTACTGGGGATGGAGCCTGCAGCCCTAGCATGTGCTCTGACCGAGAATCGAACCCGCAACCTTTCAGTGTACAGGTCGATGCTCTACCAATTGAGCCATACCAGCTAGAGCTAAGAAGTATTTTTATGGGAATTTATATTAAGACTTTTAGGTTGCGAGTAATAGGACTTAACTAAAAAATAGCATAAACAGCCGAAACCGGTTTGGCTCAGTGGATAGAGCGTCGGCCTGCGGACTGAAAGGTCCCAGGTTTGATTCCGGTCAAGGGCATGTACCTGGGTTGCGGGCACATCCCCAGTGGGAGATGTGCAGGAGGCAGCTGATCGATGATTCTCTCTCATCGATGTTTGTAACTCTCTATCTCTCTCCCTTCTTCTTTGTAAAAAAATCAATAAATATATTTTTTAAAAAAGGCTCTAAACAAGGTGTCACCGAATTTGGTTGGTATGTTTAAATATTTTAAAATCCATAATAGCTCCCCTCCCCCACTTTGTTTTAAGCGCAGTTCTATCTTTTAAAAAGTCATACCTTTTTTAAATTCATTTTTAGAGAGCATGTTTGTTAGATGCTCAAGCAGAATGTCTAATACACAGCAATGATTCACTTGAAATTGTTGGTTTGACTGTATTTAAACTGGTCTTCTTAGGTAAAAACGGTAATAAAATTCGGAGTGTAGAAACTTTTAAAAAGGGGAGGTAGTTCCCTTGGCCTCTCATCAATGGAGAGAGGCGTTGTCTGGAGAGTTACTTGGCTGCTTCCCAAGAGGCCTCAGGAGGTGGCATGACTTGGGAGAATGTACTGTTTAGTCCAGATGATTCGCAGGATTGCAGGCTCAGAAACCGATTTCATCAGCATCTCTCGGGGTGGATCTCCTAAACCAAGGTCACCACACCAGGCTATGGGGAAAACAGATACCAATTTACAGATGGAAAACTTCAACGGTGGCCAGCAAAGTCTTCCCTTCTCTAGGCAGACCCATATGGGAAACTGGAACATAATTATGAAGGTGGATCAAAATGAGGGGAGTTAAACAAATTCATGGCCTAGGCTTCCGGTAAGAGAGGGGTAAAGTTAAAACAGAAATAGGAATAATGGCTCTCAGGGCCCGGGGACCTACCTTCAAGACGGCCTCGTTACTGACGCTGGGAATTGGGCTCGAGTTTTCGCTTCCACTGACAACACCCACCCAAGCACCGTCTGTTTGTAGGCGTTAAGGTGACTGCTTATTTCTACTCTAATTTATTGGAATGTTGATCTCAGAGGTAATTCAAAAAGGACAATTTTATTGCCAAGTCCTTCAAGGAAGCCTTAGCGTTGCTCCTGAGAGCCGACAACACTGAGCATTGTGCCTGAAAACCAAGAACTTAAAAAACTTTTTTATTTTATTTTTTTTAACTTTTTTATTTTTTATCTTAATAAGAAAATAAAGGAAAAAACAAGAATGTACTTTTCCTTTTTGTGTGTATAGAAAAGGAAGCAAGAATTTATTGACTGCAGCAAAAACATACTTAGGAGAGGGAAACAAGGAAGGGCATAGAAGCAACCGAAGAGCTGAGGCTCACTGGGCAGAGAAAAGGGGGCCTTGGAGACAGGTTCGGGGGGTGAGCCCGGGACGAGCTGCCACTGCCCATTGCTCCCCTGGTTGCAAGTCACAGGAGGCCCTTAGAGGTTAGGGGATACGTGCCTGCAGGGGAAGGAGAGGGGGAGGGGAATGGCACAGGTCTGCACCCTGGAGAGAGAAGGCCTATTTTTCTTTTTTTAAAATATATTTTTATTGATTACAGAGAGGAAGGGAGAGGGAGAGAGAGATAGAAACATCAATGATGAGAGAGAATCGATTGGCTGCCTCCTACATGCCCCTCCACTGGGAATCGAGCCTGGCAATGTGCCTTGACCGGGAATCGAACTGTGAACTCCTGGTTCATAGGTCAACGCTCAACCATTGAGCCACACCAGCCGGGCCACCTCTTTTTCTTTATGGAGTTTACCCATTCACATATAATGTAAGCTTTTGTTTAGGGGGTCTGTCTAGACAGGCGCTCTGATAGAGTTGAATTCTGCCTCTAGGGTCCTTGAACCTGCTTGAAGGAGAAGCCCCAGTGGAGGTACTTTGTTCTCCCAGAACCGGGCACTGCTGGCTGGGAAGCATACAGCTCTTTGCTGTGTGTATTTATGAGTGTGCGTTCTAACGATGAGAGTAGAGCTTTTAAAGCAAGTTCCCTTATCACTGCTGAACTTCCGCTGGACAGCTTGAGGCAAGATTTCCTAGCTTCGGCTTGTCCTCAGACTCCTTCCTACTATTTGGGGAAAACCAAAAACGTCTGTTCCCCTTTTTAGAAGTGAGGTTTGAGAATCATATTAAAGCGGGTCCACCTTAGCCTGTAGGCA